GATGTACTGACAGATGCTGTCAATATGCTGAGGACACCCAGCTTCTTTTCCCTTCCTCATCAAATGCAGGTGCTACGCCTAATATCTTTAACTGGTTTCTGGAGTCAGTGACAGGCTGGATGAGGACTTGTAATTTGGAGGTCAGTCCAAGGCGATGCTGATGGCTGATGCAATTGGCCATGGAGGTGGCATTTGGGCTTTTCTGACTGGTACTGCCCTCTTACCTTAAGCATGGGAGGGGAACTGGTTGCCTTAAGGATGAGGGTTGTGGCTGGAAGATGCTTTTAGAAGTTAATGTACTAATGGGCACCCAAGAGAGTTTATGGCTTGGCATGCCCTTTACCAGCTTTGGAATGTCAGCTGTGACCTCTTCTGGAAAAAATGCATCATATGTACTGTGTCAGTTATTTCTATCCTGGTAACTTCTGTGCTACATTTCTGCAATGCACTGCCCAGGGGATTCCCTATTGGGAAGCTTCACCTGGCTTAAAGTATGGCAGCCAAGATTTTTACTGGGATTTGCCACTGGGACCTCTCTTCACTGTCATGTGCAACGAGCAATGGCCTCTACAGGTAATGCTTTAAGCTTGAAAAGAGCTGGAGCCAGGCTGTCTGAAAGGCTGCCTACTCCTGTTTGAACCTTCTCCAGGCGCGTTCCTTCTCCTTCAACTGCAGGTGCCAGCGGCCATTCCAGTGGGCTGTTTCTGCGAAGGTGAGAGGCAGAAGCATGCGCATTGCCCCAGCCCCGCAGAAAGACTACTGGATGCCTCTCCTCCTCCCTCTCAGCTAAGGCCATGCCTTGAATATCCACACCTTCAGAAGCTAGTTAAGTGGCCATCGCAACTAAGTAGTCCTGATTATGGAATACTCTTCTATGACACCTCCTGGCACCTACATTACCATTTCTTAGGCAGCAAATGAAGACTGCCCTATTCTTACAAGATTCTGACAGAATATAACTGAGGATTGGTTCACAGTATTTTTAACAATTAGTTATTAATGCTTCCTGATGGTTGTACTGATTTTATTCTTATTTTGTATCCACTTTCTTCAATTGCTTTAGTTTTGCATGTGTGTTGCCTTGGAGATGATTGGGGGAAAGGCGAGGTACACATAAATAAATAATACGGTGCGTCTCTTTGCTTAAAATTCCTGACCCTGACCCTTTAGCCCAGCCTGCCTCAAAACTCTCCACTCATGCATAGAGCAGGTCTGGTGTTCTTTCCTTCCATCCCTCTGAGGACTGAGGTTTTATTTTGGAAGCATTTGAGTAGCTGATGTGATACCATCTGACAGCTGATTACAGCATTGTTTCTCTGTTCCACTTCAGCAGAGCAGAATTCTAGGGAAGACTAAACCTTTGCATTCATGTGCTCCGGTGGGACCAGCTGTGGTTGAAAATATCCAGTGGGACGGTGAGCAGAAACCAACCATCTTATGGCTGTGGGAATGTCTCACCCATGTGAATTCAGAACACAAAGAAGTTGCCAAAGAAGGGTCTGTGGTCCTCAGATGTTGCTTTCCACTGATCCATCAGAGTGAAGTGCCTCTAGACAAAACTTTTGAGAAAAGAATGGCATAAAAGGCAGCCATTTTGCTTTTAGAAGAGATGATGCCTATAGAATGAAATGATCCAAACATACTAATATATAAACATTTGCATGCACATTTTGGCTGGGTTGTTTAGTTCTCTGTACTAATTTTCCTAGTGTAACCAAGCAGAAGGCACTGAGTAGCAATTCCACCATTTTTCCTTCACAGATTTTTTGTGATAAAGAAAAAGGTGGAGAAAACAGTGAGAAAACACAGGAGGGTCATGGGAGGAAGAAAACATCATTTGGAGCCCCTGTAAATTCTCGGAATAAGGCAAGGCGATGGTGCTGCAGAAGCTAATTTGGAAGCACCCGTGATTTGGGGAACGCAACCATTGCACAATTTTGGGCAGAGGCAACATCTCCAAGGGCAAGATGTGAGCAAACTGTTTCTGTCAGTTTGTAGCGGAAGACAGCCTGGACTTGCTGGTGCTCCGGTGCTCCACTTCTCTGTGTAGCAGGTTTTCAATTCTAAGAAGTGCTCCAGGGACTTGTGCAAGACCATTACGTGAACTTCATAACTGAGCAGGATCAGTCCAGTCTAATTGTCTGTCCATCCCATCATGCTGGGAGGCTGGAGAGCACTAAAGATGGAACAGACCGTGTATATATTTATACTTATCCACTATGGGTGTTTCCTCAGGGAGAGGTGAAGAAAAGGCTGCCAAATCTGGTTGCTTTTCCGCTTTCAGCATCCTCAAAAGGATGCTGTTCCTGAAGACTCCAGGCAGAGGGTATAATGCCAGATCAGCTTCCTAGGTGCACAGCTGGAAAGTATTTACACATTCTCAAACTACTCTGGATTGCCTCAATTATACTAAAGGGTTGGCCTACAATATCACCAAGTGTCCCATTTCTCTACTGATTATGGCTATTTGATTCCTCATCTTCTCTGTAAAGGCAAGCAAAATACCTGCCTCTTGGTGAAATCTTGCGTCGCCAAGGCATACAGAGAAATGTGGATTCTACAACCAGCCAGCTATCTGTCTCCATGCCAAAACCTTCCCTTCCTTCACCACCATTCCCTCAGCCCTTACCACAGACCTCGGCACCTCGTGCAAACAGAACAGTATGTCAAAGCGGGAATGGGGGAAATGGCAGTGGAAGGATGTAATTTATTTCTTGCAGGTGTGTTTTGTCATTTGCAATCGATCAAAGGCAGAGAGCAGTTGGGAGTGCAGGAAAAGGAAAGGTGACAGAAATGGTAAATTGGGCTGCAGGAGCTGCACGAGGCAGAGGCCAGTGCCTCCGACAGGCGTTGCCCTCGGTTTTCCCATTATACCAAGAAACAAATACAGCAAAATAAAGAGCATGCTCATTTTCACGGGGCTGATGTGGCATTTGGGCTTGAGATGCTTTCAGAACTCATTTCTAGAGAAGCAGTTGTTTAACCCCTGGAGGCTGGAATGCAACAGCAGGCATTAAAAGCTCCACAGAAACTTTGGAGAATAGCTGGGCTCCTTCGGAAGCACTCCTGAGGTCATTCCCTCCTCTTGAGGTCATTCCCTCCTGGCCTGCACAATCCGCTTCCTTATGCCTTTCCTTGAACAGAAGGATTCGCCTTGAGGAAGTCCTCAGTGAATGCTGCACACGTGCGTGTCAGTGGGAATTGTGCACGCTCACCTTCTCCAAATGGTGCTCATTATCCACAACAGGGAGAATTAATGAATACAACCATCTGTCCAAGGAAATGGATTCTCAGCCTGGTATGGTGTTTTATTTTTTGCCTTGTGTTATTATTAATTGTTCTTATTGTGAACCACTTAGGGATTTTGTGTACTGAGTTAAAAAGTAAAATGTTAAATTAGTATAAAAGTATTTTTAGGAATAATACTTATTTTCATTTTAGTATTAAGACAACGTGAACAATGGCACATCATTATCCACTGTGCATCTCTAATAGATGTATTCCTTTGTGGAAGATTTGTTCTTGTTCAATCAAATGCCCTGCCCTGGATGCAGGAATGATTGCCTTTGGATGTGCTCTAGTACGTAAGATCCAGAAAGGAAAGACATGATTGGTCGGTTCGAGGCTCTGTCTTCTATGGGCAGAGGAGCTCCACCCACATAGGTGCATCCCCCAATCTGGCCCCTCCCCTTGCATCACAGATCACCTCATTTGGCAGAGTCCCCAGTTCTGTGTGTAAGATTTTCAGGAAACTGGTAGAAGGAGCAGGGAAGTCTTTGGCGTTGTCTGCACCAAAGTCTGGATCCCACCCAATACAGATGTTTGAATGACATATATTGACTGGATGGACTGCCTTCATAGGGTAGGATAACACCCTACCCTGGCCAACATTTCACACAAGCTTTCTGCTTTCAGTTACACATCTGCTGAGTTCCTTGTGATCTGCCTGCCCATGAACCGCTCACGCAAGTCTGAAAATGGGAGCCTGCAGGGCAGGTGGCAGTGTGCGACTTGATCCTTAAAATCAGAGGGCTGGTGGATAATCTTTTTCAGTCATCAAGGGAAAAGCGTCTATCATTTTGTGGCTGCAAAGATGGCATGTGTGGAACGAGATGCCAAGCAAGTGGTCCTTTCCAGGGTACCTACGCCAGCCTCTCTCACTGTCCTGTCATTCCAATGCCACTGCACTGCAGCAAAGCCAAAGCCAAAGCATTTCCCCCAGGACCTCGCAAAGCCACCGCGCATCCCTGCCACCTTGCTTGCTTCCTTTGCAGTGAGGAGACAGACTGCAATCAGACGACATTAACTGTGGCATACAGAACTCACCATGTAGCTCTGCCATATAGATCTGTACACACAGTTCTCCTCTCAGTTACACCATTATTTAGTAGCTAAGCGATCAACTGTAACTTAGCACAGAGGAGCACTGAGGTTAGTCTTCTATAGAGAGTATCTACATAATAATTATGGTGTGTTGGCTAGCAATAAAGAAAGGTTATGGCATAATTAGTGCACTCAATTTGCTTCTTTCCCTAACCAACACATTCTGTATGGATGGGTGCGAGCACATGCACACAGTGCAGTCTGCAGGAAGTGTGACAGGGGCCAAACTTGTCTTTGCAGCCACAATCCATGCTCAATGAGGGTGTCTAAAATTCTCTTCTTAAAAATATCCAATTGTGCATTCTAAAAATCAAAGCATTAGGCAGTCCTACACAGGCTCCCTTGTTTTGCGTGCTTTCCCCTTCTTCAATGTCCTAATTGATGGTAAGGTCAAAGACTGGGATAAGGACTGGGGAAAGAAGGCTAGGACTGACAACTGTGGAGGTAGGACGCATGTTGGGGAAGGGGAAGGACAAGAAACAGAGCAAGACTAAATGGGGCAAGACCACCCAAAGCCTGCTCTTCACGCCAGGGAGCACATGAGATGCCACCACCGCCTCCACATCCTCTCTCTTTCCTGCCTTTGTTCTCCCACCAGCCACAGACTCAGCACTCACAGAAGCCACGTTAACGTAGTCATCGTCTGAGAGCGTGTCCAGCATATCATAGACCGATGTCTTCATCAGCTTCAGTGTCAGGCCACTAACGCTGCCACTCCTGTAGGAGGAGGAGAGGAGACACAGCTCATGTTGCCACTCGGTCGACTTCTGCTGAAACCCCACAGTCCGTCGACCATTATTTCTTCCTTTGCTGCTCTGGCGGATGCCGTGAACAGTAACACCTTCCTGAGGCCCCCAGATGCCTTTCAGATGCTACCGTCTTTTTACTGGCAGTCAGAACGACACGATGGGCCATGATCTTTAGAGTGAGCAAATGAAAATGTCATTGCAAGTGGCTAAATTCTGGGGAGAAATACTTACACGTCTACAATGATCACCATGTCCTTTGGAGACGAAGCTCCCTGGATGTACCTGCATGGAACAAAGACAAGGATACAGCCTGAAGCAGGCATTGAACAGTCTTTGCAATCCCACAGAGCAGCGTGACCCCTCGCCATTTTAGTACGTTCAATGCTGCACAATCATCTTTGGAAACATGAAAACATTCTTTTTAATAAGCAAACTTTAAAAAATTATGCAGCAACCCGTGAAACAGATCTGTAAAGACAAAGCACATAGTTCAATTATAAGCGTTTTAAAAGCACAATTTAAAGGAGTATTTTTAAGCCTTTATTATTTTTGCTAACCTTTGACAGAGAACTTGATGTATTTCTTAATAATAATAATAATAGTAATCAGTTGTTATCTCAGGACACACACTTTCTGTAATATCTGTGAAATCAGTTCAATAAATGTATTTGCTATTTTTGCTGTCACAGATTTACAGGGGGGAAAACCCACATCTATAAAACACCACTGTGCGATCAAAGACACACACATATATAATACAATAAAACATTCATAAGATTATTAAATCATGGGCTTACCATACCACTGTAAAATACTCAGATACCACAGTGATGACAAAAGGTATGTGGTTTAGAATTTACTACTATTTTGAAATATGGGTTTCCTTGTCAGAATTCCTGCATAGATTTCTGTTGTTCTTGCCTACAAAGTGTGATGGCAATGGGAACCCAAGCTGAGACTGAAGAAGTACATACAAGGAGTGCCTTTCCCTGTGGAATGCCATCTTGTGCATCCCATGGCAAACGGAATGAGGCTCAGTGCTGAGTCCCCACCAGTGCTCCCCCATGGGTCTCTTGCTGACGGCAGGTGGAGAACCCCATGTTTAGATAGTCCCAAAATACGTACGTTGCTCATGGAATAGCTTTCTGTTTGGATACCCCTACCTTCCACACAGCATCTGAGCAGAGTGTGCACAAATTGATACTTAAAAGTATTCCCACACCAGTACTTCCAGTACTACTGAAAGGACACCCAGATTTGCATCTTCCTTGTGAGGCAGAACAGGCTGAGAGGCATTTCCTTTGGCATTACTCATCAGCTGCTCCTCCCACATGGTTATTTCGTAGTCGAATCCATACTAAGCTGTTTTGGGGTGGAAGGGTGGAGAGGGACAGACTTTTCTGGTTTAGCTGCCTTAGACATGAGCAGCTGGCACATGTGTAGGACTGAGAATGAGCAGTGCTGACTCGGAATGGAGAGAACTGCAATCCAGTGCAATTGGCAGCCAATGCGTTGTGGGAGGATTAATGTATGTGAAGTCGGGGGCCACTAGCAGTGGGTACCTCCTGCCTCCCAGGAAGCTGATCATGGCAAGAAGGCCAGTTCTGTCCCATCCCTCAGCTAGAGAAGGAACAGATGCAGGAGATTCCTCCTTTCTGTCACAAGGCACGTTTTAAAGAATGTTGTAACTAAGGACAAGTGACCCCCCCCTTACTTTTTTCCTCCTCCTTCCATATCCCCTTTCCTTTTGTGATATGTCTTTTAGGTAAATCTGAGGAAAGAGACTGGCTATTGACAGTTCATTGTAAGTTGGCCTGGAAGCCTTCTTCTGTTGAAGAGTGGCTAAAATGCTTCAAGCAAGCAAAAAATTAAATACATGCATGCATGCATGCATAAATGTGCTTTTGTTAAAGGAGCTTGGGTGAGTAGGAGAAAAAATACTGAACAAAAGGAAAAACAAATGTTAATTTCCAACCAACCTTACAGGGATAAAATTTCTAAGTTGCTCCTAGCTACTCATATAAGGCACATCACCCTTCCTCATGCTAAAGTACACAGGACCTATCCGTGAGTGGAAAAACAAGAATTCCTCAAGAAAAGGGAAATAGTAAGATTACTGAAATATTAACCCTATTTTTGGGTGCATTCCAGAAGATGCAATAATGGGCAGATAAAAGGAAAACATCTTTAGAATGTTTTCCTTTGTTAGAATCTGGGGACTTGTCAGGATTGACACATACACAAGCTAATAATATTTAGTACCATCTTAGCCCAGGAAGTAATTTTAAGAGCCTTTCGCAGATGCAACCATTCCTAGAGAAGGCTGGTCATTTGGCCTTTGTTTGAACTACACATCTGGACAACTAAAATGAGAATGAAGCAGGACTTGCATGACCACTGCACACCGCTGGGGCATATTTAAACCATGGTGGGTTGCTGCATGTGCCAGCAGCCATTCTGAACATTGGACCCTCGGCACGGGATTGGCACGGTTTGTCAGACTGTCCAAACTCAGGCAGCAGAGGCTGTCTGAGGGTTCAGCAGCAATACGCCACGACTCATGCCCCATCAGGCTAAACGCAGCTCAGCAGCAATATAGGGTGGCCTGCCAGGTACATGACGGCTTTTCCCTTTTGTTTTATCACTCTTTTTGGTATGACCAAGCAGGCAGCGAGCACAGAAATCTCTGGTGACTTCCATGCAAAGGTGAGTTCAGCTTGATGGGCAAGACGGGCTGCAGGCCTGTTCCACCTGCCTGGTGGCCAGTCTTCAGCTGGAAGAGAGGTGCACTGACAAGATGCCTGAGGGAGCCATCTCAGTACTGTTCAGCCCGGCAATGCACAGAGAACGACCTGCTATGGACCAGAGTGGAGAGGAGTGATGGGATTGCAGGCACTCATGCAAGGGGGTGCCCCCACGTCCCTTTTGTGCACGCCCCTTTAGCTACTCTTTTTAGAAGGTCAAGGGGGCAGAGCCAGGTGTGCAGCTTATGGATCTCCTTTGAGGGCCCTTCCATCTTTCTGTCCAAATCTGAGCATGAGTAGCAAGAAAGAGTGAGAGAAAGCAGGAGAGGGGAGTCATGGAATGTTCATCGCCGTCCTTTGTATAGTGCAGGGAAGTAGCTTCAACAGCGCATTTTACAACCGATCATTGTACCAGAGACACACATCTCCAGAACAGTGTGAGCCATGGACGGTAGAGCACAGCGGTCAATAGCACTTCCAGAAGTGGATACCGTCATATTAAGTTTTGGAATAGTTATAGGCGCCCATGAAGAACGTATACCAAATCATCCATATATTAACCCGCGGCCCCAGTAAAGCAAGCAAAGGAGAAGAAGCCAGAGGGCAGTGCTCGACTGCCTTGAATGACAATGGGAGGATGTGGAAAGAATCTGCAACATGAGAGTGACCTGCCGCTCAACATCGTGTCAGCTTAATGAGCTCTAAATGCTAAACTCTTCCATCACTGCAATTCCTTTTTTTAGCAGCGATGATTGTGCAGACACATGTGTATAGATTAAGAGTCTATTTCCCCCCCTGATGTTTTCAAAGGCCAAAGCTGATTAGGATATTTTTAGCGACTGGGAGGAAGAAAACCACCTTTGCCTTTGTAAACAATGGAGAACATCTTTTTGAATCACCTCATTTTTTTTTCAAAAAGAGAGAACATATTGGAGGTAATTATTAGGGATGTGCACTGAATTTAGCTGAAGCAGAAACCTGAGCAAATTTGGCCTCTTCAGACCATTTCTGGTACTGCCTGAGGCAAAACAGGCTTCCCTCCAAAGTAACCAGAAGCAGACTCTGCAGAAGGCTTCGTCCTTGACTGGGCTTCAAACAGGCAGGTGCCATGTCTTCAAAAACAGCATCACTTGCTTTCTCCAAATGATGGCGGCTGGGGGTGTGCAGGAGGGAGAGGGTCCATCTTCCAGCGATAGGGTACATTTTAGCAGGAGCTATCCGATCATTGTGCTTTGGGGAAGGCAATCATGGGAATGTGAAATGGCCATTCTTGATTGCCTTAAATTGGTTTTCAGTCATCCCAGCTCCCTATCTGAAGCACCTATCATACCGGCATTTCACTTGTTACATGCCTGAAGTCACCTGTATGATATCTGCTGTTTTCATTCAAATCCCCAAACTCCTGCCTCACCTCCCACCAAAAAACCAACACATACACACATGTACACAAAACACAAATCAGTTCTTCATCTTCTCAAAAGATTTTTGGTCCACTTCCCACATGAACTGCTGCATCTGTCCTTCCAAAACTTTGCATTTTCATATTTAGAGGGACCTCTAGGCTCTCTGTCATTCTCAGAACAATGGCTCATAAGGAACAGAGAGAGATAAAGACCTCCTCTGTTGCCTACTCTCAAAATATCATGGTCATTCTAAAGAGGTTTAGCAATGTATGTTAAGGAAAAACTGGACCCTAAATTTATTCTTGCTGACGAGAATGGTAGGATCCTGATGGTTGAAATTACAATTAAACTTAAAAAAGTACTCTTAGTGGCAATATATGCGCCAAACGATCATCAGGAAACTTTTTACCAAAAATTACACAGGTTACTTCTACAAGTAGATTTCCAGACTATGTGTGTAATGGGAGATTTTAACATGATTGTGGATAAGGAAATGGACTATAAGAATGTTAGTAAAGGAAAAAAAAGGTAGGAGGATACTCCCAAAGTCCTGTTCTAACATGATTGAAGAATTTAGTCTGATGGATGCCTGGAGGCACAAAAACCCATCTTCTGCCAAATACTCTTTTTATTCAAATATTATTATTATTATTATTATTATTATTATTATTATTATTAGAACATTTCTATGCCGCCCCTTGCTGAAGCCTCGGGGCGGCTTACAACACAATACAATACAAAAATAACAATATAAAATTAAAGTTAATAATATAAAATAAATAAAAAATATAAATGATATAAAAGAAGTTATAAAAGAAAAGTCATAAAAGAAAAGTCATAAAAGAAAAGAAAAGAAAAGAAAAGAAAAGAAAAGAAAAGAAGTCGCCCTGGCCAGATAAATAAGTAAATATTGTTAACAATTAAAATGACGTTTAAATAAAAAGGTCTTCACCTGGCGCTGAAAAACAAATAACGACGGCGCCAGGCGGACCTCTCTGGGGAGCATATTCCATAGATTGGGCGCCACCGCAGAGAAAGCCCTCCTCCGAGTACCTACCCTCCTAATTTCTTTCACGGAGGGTTCCCGGAGAAGGGCCTCTCCCGCAGATCTCAAGGGGCGGTCGGGCATATATGG